AATATGTATTGAGTTAGATATCAAGTATAGATTTTTAAGTATTTAGATAAATACAAAATTTAAAACATTACACCTAAACATGTTCAAGACATATATCAAATATATCTCATACCCATACCCGAAAAAGCTCACCTCCACCATAGGTTACTATAGTGCATGTTTAGTTATTGCACCAACTTAATTACAGGTTTTTACTTGGAAAGTTAGTAGAAAAAAACTATATGAAAAATTAATAAGTTTTATAGTAAAATTTTATTAGAATTTTATTGAATTATTAATTTTTTGTATTTGATAAGAAATTAGTGTCAAAAAAGTTGATATAAAAGTTGTCAAGTAGATTATACATAGAAAAAGTTGAGGAAAAATTTTTTCCTTTCAAGAAGTGTGGGAAAAAATAGTTTATGAATTGAAAATTGTGTTAAGAAATATAGAAGTTAAAAGATTACTTTTATCGTTTTTTATTGTAATATTAATGTGTAAAAATATATAAATAATTTTATAAAATGAAAATTTTTTAAAATTTAAAGAGAAAAATGATTTAACAACCAAATAACCCTAAAAATTGATAATGTTACAAAAAGTGATTTTAGGTGTTAGGTAGGGGTTAGGTGCCTTATTTAGTAAAAATAAAAGCTCATAACTTAGAATGTTATAAAACGTGAGTAATTAAAGTGGGTTAAGGGATATACAACTCAAAATAAAAGTCAAATAACTCAATTAAGAAGTTAAGAATATTTGTGTTGAAGGGTAATGTTATTACCGTATCATCAATTATTAATATCATATTTTTTTTATATTAATTGATTATTATACATTTTAATTTATTAAAAAACAAAAAATATAAAGTATGACAATAACTTCACACTGTATTAAAAAGAAATGTTGCTAAAACTTAATTAAATTTGTTGTAGGGCCTTCAAGGATGTGTTGTTTTAGCCTTCGAAGTATAAAGTTTTGGATATGGATCCTCCAAAGAAAAAGGACAGCTATAAATTACAATGTCGTGAAAACAACTTTTAGGCATTCTTAACAATTCAAATATGAGAGAAAGATGTAACATTAATAAAGGCAGGTGGCAATTAACCCATCTGTTTCCGTTTAGCTAGTGATGAGGGCAGACATAAATCCTATATTCTCAAACATTGTGTGGACCAAATTGGACAATTTCAGTTCAATTACACATTTCAACTTTACTTTAAAAAGGAATATGCCTAACATTTTTTTTTCTTTCTCTTATAACAAATTGTATCTCAACTAAATAATTTTTTTGAGTTACGCTACTATCTTTGAAGAAGAAGGATAATGAAGGAGGGGGACATTTCAAATCAGGGAGATTCGCCTAAGTGACGTGTTCATCCCTCTGAGAAGATAAACATTCCTAGCAGCCGAATGTGAGAGAAGGGAGGTTTTTTAATTCTTAAAATTTTGAATTTTTATGTTAAAGATTTTGAGTTTAATTTTTAAATTAAATAAAAAGAGGCATGAGAAAGAGAAAGGCCTCCCTTCTATGAAAAATGGAAAAGCTAAACATATATTGCTATTGATTTTCAATAATGGTAAACATACATGTACAACCAATAATGGTAAATATACATGTACAATTTTCATGTATGAACTCCCATTAAAAAAAAAAAAAATTCATGTGTGAACCAAACAATAGCTGATATGTATTAGGAACAGTTTTTTTTTTATTTATAATATTATATGTTAATTTAATAATATATTATATTTTTTAATAATTAAACTAAATAAATATATGAAAGTGTATATTAAACTAAATGTGTGTAAATTATCTTATATTTTTTATGATTAATGTATCTTTATATCAATTTTTATGCACGTCAAGATTAATCTCCTATCAAACAATTTTAAAATTATACTTTCATGTCAATCTTATGAATTTAAAAAAATTAACTTTTCTAAATATTAACCCTAAAATTTAAATTCTAAATTTAATATACAAAAATGACATTTACTTACCAATTAATCCGGTTAAAAGTGGTGGAGCCATTTTCTCTAGCTTTTGCGTGTACTACCATCTAAACACTGGTCTTGTCCCGCACTTGTATTAAATCCAGTTGGAGAGATCTCTCTTGTTGACAACGATGATGGTATGTGAAGGCCATGGTTATGCCACACGAAACAAAAAAAAA